CCCTCCCCCGGGGCCCCCGCTCCCGCTGCCGCTGCCGGCGCGTCTGCGCCTCGCGCTGCAGCACCGGAGCGCGGGGCGAGCTCCTCACTGGGGACCGAAGTGTGGCGGAGGACGGGAGCAGAGCGTGCCGTGGGCCCGCGGGGTGCGGGCGTGCGCGTGCGTGCGCGTGGGAAGCCTCACGCCAACGCTCTGTAGGGCACTCGGGTGGCCCAGGGCCCGTCGTCGGGGTCCTCGGGATCTCCCGCACGCTAGCAGCCACATGGCACATCCGAGGACTGAGCGACAGGCTGCGGGCGGGAAGCTTACAGCTGGCCAGTGTTTCCCAAACGCCAAACGGCACTTCGGGCGGCAGGTGCGGTGGCGAAGGGCGCTGGACTCCCAGTGTTCGACCGTGGTTCGCGTCCCGAACCTGGTGGCTTGCTTTCTCACTTTCTCTCTCTTGCTCGCTGTGCCACTCTCTGGTCAAAAAAAATAAGTAAATGAATAAATAAAGTTAAATAAAATAACTAAACAAACAAACCCCAGCATCTTGGTACCAGCAGTTGGCGTAACGGCTATATCACTGCACTCCCACGTAGTTTATCGCAATTTGAGTCCCGGACCCTGTGGCTTAAACCAAGATCGAGAGAGGGGAATGGAGGAGAAGGGATTGAGGTGTGGCCATCCCCTTGGGGGCGTGATTTCTGGCTTTCTCTTGTCTCTTTGTTTCTGGCCTGCACAGGTGCCCTATAGCAAAAACCTCTCATTCATACACACATACATACATAAACATCTCAATGAGCACAGACCAGGGGAGAACTGCCAAATGCTTCACTTGTACCCCAGGTCCTGGCACTTAGTATCTGGTCCCTAGTATGCATTTCCTTCCCCCTTTCCTTTACCGTAGTACACTGATTTAAAGAGAGCCAGTGGGTCAATCTGGAGACTGAGATGGGCTGCGACAGGGGCCTCAAGGGATCAAAATGGAGAGAATCAAGAACAGAAGCTCATTTGGCCTAGGGCAGGACAAACGACATTTTCTTGATGTAAAAGGCAGAAGATCTGAAGACAGACCTAAAGAAGGATGGAGAAGACCGTTGAGTTTACGTTTGGTAGAAGAGTGAAAAGAATAAACAGGTATGTCCGATTGATAACCTTGGATTCTACCAGGAAAGGAGAATGGGAGGCAAGCGGTCACCGAGGCTGTGATCTGTGCAGCAGGCGGTGGCCGCCACAGCTGCAGTTTCCAGCAGCTTCCGCCAGCAGGTGCAAAGCAGTCATGGTTGGATTCACCCACGATTGGGAACCGGCAGGGTGAGGGCCGAGGAATGGAGGAAACGTTCCCTTGCATCTCCCTGAATGGCTGTGAGGGTGTGGGTCAGGTAGGGAGAAGCTGAGTGCGGGATCAACAAGAGCTGACAGATTTTGGGCCAGGAGATGGTATAGTGGTTATGTGCGACTGGACTTGAATCCCGGATCTAGTGTCTTGAAAATCACACTGAGCACGTGTGGCCCAGATCCCAGAATGGAGGAGGGACGGGATTGCAGCGCGGCCATCTCCCTGAATGGGGAGGTGATTGATCGCTTTCCCTCTCATGTCTGTGTGTGGAAAGAACTGATGGGCTTTTTTCAGATCGTGAGATCAAGAGTGATTTATGGCAGTATAACTGGTCTTCATTCTTTTGCTTTTGCCAGATAAAATTAATGTTTATAAACTGCATAGATGAGAAAAAATATATACATTTGTGCAATTTGCCAGAGGGTGTGCATGCTTTGCCAGATAGACAAGAAAGGGCCAGCAGGTGGCATGGAGGTTGAAGTGACTGGAATCCCACATGGCTGACCACACAATTCTGTGCTAGACCTAGCAGCTTGAAAATCACACCAGGCATGTGTGTGTGCATGCCCCAAATCCTGAGAAAATGGAGAAGGGATGCGAAATAGCAATCTCTCCGGAGGGTGATTTCGCTCTTTCCCCAGCAAGCACACGCACCCTAGAGGGAAAAAGGGAGAAAGGACTCGTAGTGGGGACTCGGTTGTGCAACAATCGTCCTTCTCCATTTCTCTACTCCATTTCTCTGTCTGCACTTTGGGCAATGCATGTATCATGGCACACTTTCAAGCTGCCAGGCTGGGATTCGAATTGCAGTTGGCCATGTGCTAGGCCATGGAGCTGACCCTTAGAAAATATTTTTCATGATGTTTAATATCACACACCTCTTATGTGGCAAAACCCAATTCTAACTATCACAAGATTTTTCTTCATGCAGTTAAAAAAACCCAAAAAACTATAAGTGTAGATGAATAAATTCAATTTATTAAACTGATTTTATTCTGACATTCCTCTGTATTAACAATTCGGACTAGATAAATGAAGTTTAAAAATTTTTTTGAGAGATTTTTGCTATAGGGTGTGTGTACTTGATACAGAGACAGAAAGTGAGAAATCACCCCCCAGGAGGGATGACCACACCTCAGTCCCTTCTCTTCCATTTTCCTCTTGGGATTTTGGGTGGGCATGCACACACACGCCTGGTATAGGTTTTAAGCCTCTGGGGTCAGGGACTCGAACCATGGTCAGCCATGTGAGAATCCAGCGACATAAGCAATATGCCATCTACTGGTCCCAAGAACAGTATTTTTTAGCGAATTATTTAATTTTATTTATTATTAATTTGCTTTAGAGCACATGTGCTCACTAGAGACAGAGAAAGCAAGCTGCTGAGTCTGGCACTCAAACTGCAGTTAAACCACATGGGAGTCCAGTGACTTAACCACCACCCCACCTGCTGGCTTATAACAGTTCTGATTATTCAGTTGATAAAATGACTTAAAAATCGTTTTGGGGCCAGCAGGTGACATGGTGGTTAAAGGGCTGGAACCCATAGAGTCGACTCCATGGTTTTGAGTCCTTGACCTGGTGGCTTGTACAAGGCAGGAATGAATGTTCACGCCCCAAATTCTGAGAGAATGTTGAAAGGATTGTGGCACAGCCATCCAAGATTTCTCTTTCCCATTTCCCTTTTTCTAGCAAGCTTATGTGCCCTATGGCAGAAACCTTTGGAGGGAAAAAAAAAAGAATGGCATGAGATCAAAATAATTTGTTTAGGGACCAGCAGTTAGCGTAATGGCTATGTCACTGGACTCTCATGTAGTCGACCGTGGTTCGTGTCCTGGACCCGGTGGCTTAAACTCATGCCGGGCGCGTGTGCGTGTGTGCCCAAGATCCTGAGAGGAGAATGGAGGAGAAGGGATTGTGACGTGGCCACCCCCCACTGGGGCGTGATTTCTCGCTTTATATCTGTCTGTCTGGTGAGCACACATGCCCTATAGCAAAAACCTCTCCAAGAAAAAAAAAAAGTTTAGGCAAAGAATAAATCTATTTAAGCAGTCTTTACGGTTAAAGATAAATACTTTAATTTTTTTCTATATTGTTACCATTAGATTTTTAAAAATAATTCTGCTTTAAACAAAGATGGGTTTGTAAACATGGAGTCTCGATTTTCATATTGTAGTACAAACACATGATTTCAGGAGGGTTCCTTAACATTGGTAAGAATGAAGATTCAAATTATTTGAAAAGTTAATTAAGGTAGTATCCAACTTTTATGACTTTTTGTTATATGCTTGGGTGAGAATTTCTTTCAGTAGTAGTACCTAGACAGCATATAGAACCAACTGGAAAATCAGATGTTTCTAAGGCAAACTTGTTTTGAATGGTAACATTTCTATGGTACAATTGGGTCTTTCATCCTCCTTGGGCCACAGGTAACTCTGATGACTTGGTCTGAAAATTATATCCTCGAGAGCAGTGTCAGTGTTAAGGCTCTAACAAGTTCAATAATTAGTGCTTGATGGTGTAGCCTTTGCCCACTTTTCCATCAGACACTGACAGGTGAACAATTCAGTTTCCCTTCATCACGGAGATTAAGGACACCTACTTCCCATCCATTCAAGGATGGTAGTGACTGGGTGAGAAGGAAAAGGGCATCACCCCTGCTTTCTGCTTGACGTAAGCAAAAAGTCTGGCAGGATTTTCCCTTCCAAGGGTGGGGAAGCATAAGAAGGCTCAAAGGCTGTCCCTAAAACCGTTACTCCACAAATTTTCTCCCCGTGCTATGGAGACTCTGAGGTAGCCAGATAGTAATCAGTTTGGGGCACAAAAATAAATAACAACAGAAAAGTTAGTACCCATGTGTGAATTCCACTGAGTAGAGGCTCTTTGGTGCAAACAGAATTTTGCACGGTGAAGAAGGAAGAAAAAGGCAAAGGGTACGGAACAAGGCCAGAGCACAGCACATCCCAGACATTCATAGGAGACGCCCCTTGGGGTTCCCAGGAGACCAGGCTGACGACTAGCAGCAGCACTCAGAACAGTAGTGCTGTGGTGTCTGGCCCGCTAGCCCAAGACAGGGTTCCAGCTCTTCGGCCTGGAACTGGGTGGATATTGGCAACTGCTGACTGGTACAGTTAAACATGTCTAGATAAAAATATCTGGAAGCTGAAGTCTTTATTGACAGAATCAACCGAACATTTGTGGTAGCAGGGTGGGTCATGATGAGCTGCCACAATTTCTGACAATTGGATTTGACTTATATGAAATGGCTCCTCCTAATCCCTTCATCTTTGTCTGACAATGATTATTTGTATGGAGAGGTTTGTAGACTGAACCTACTTCACTCATATCACCCTTCTTTACTCAGCTTTTGGAGATAAATAGCTTGGTTCCAACTTTTAAAAAGGTGATAGGCTAAAATACAGAAAAATAGTTAAAGGTTATCAGGCCCAATCAAGAATGGCTTAACATTCATTTTCCTCTTTGAACATCTTACCTAAGTGCTTTATGAGAGCTACTAGCTCAGGGTTCCCACCACATGCATCGATTTGTTTATAGGCTTTAGATTCAAGTTCTTCAAGGGTATTCCGGGTGTACTGAAAAGAACCTACATCCTCAAGATATTGTACACAGTATTTTTTAATATCTATATTTTCTGTTCTCTGACGCAAGATATTCTGTACCTGGGTGTTCTCAGGCTTTGACCAAATAGCATGAATAATTGGGAATGAAAATTTTCCCTCTGTTAGATCTTCACAAAAGCTTTTGTTTTCACTATATTCTTTGGAGTGTAAATTGGCATAATCATCCCTAATTTGGAAAAAGAGCCCAAGCGTATTTAGTAGTGGCTTTAAGTCTTCTTTGTAATCAGAGAACAACTGCATAAGGCCTACCGCTAACCCGAACAGCCCCCCGGTCTTCTGTAGCACCATGGCTTTATATGCTTCCTCAGTGGGACAGGTGTAATTATCCCGCCAGTAAATATCCAGGCCCTGTCCCTGATGAAGTTCCAAAAGCTGACGGGTGAAAAGCTTCACTGCATCTGGGTGGTCAAGGGTTAAGACTTTTTCCAAACCAAGGAAATAGACATAATTGGCAGAATTGATGACAGAGGGAATTCCATAGATGCTGTGTGCCACTGGGAAGCCACGACGAAGTTTTGAGTTGTCTTCGATATCATCGATGAGTAAACTGGCATTATGCAACATTTCTGTCACTTCAATGATAATCTAAAAGAGAGAATGAAGTTTAACTTTATCTGAACTATTCAAAACAGCTTATACTTAATTAAGATTATGAAAGTCTTGGGGCTGGCAGATGGCAGTGGTTAAGGCACAGGACTCACGCATGACTGACTACGGTTTGAGTCCTGAACCTGGCAGCTTACACTTTCTCATGTTCTTGTTCTGTCTCTATCTCTCTGTTCAAATTAAACACTGATAAAATAATCCTTAGGGGAAAAAAAAGATTATGGAAGCCCCAGGTGTTTTAAGTTTTTACATACAATAATCATTTAGTCACCTCAATATAAAATAATATATCGTATGAGCATTAAAGTGAATCAAGAACTCTTGAGTATTTTTATGTTACCTCTATTAATTTTGGGGATTAAAAATAAGATGAGGGAGGGACCAACAGTTAGCGTAATGGCTATGTTGCTGGACTCCCATGTAGTTGACCGTGGTTCGAGTCCCGGATCCAGTGGCTTAAACTCACACCAGGCGCGTGTGCATGCGTGCCCAAGAGAGTAGAATGGAGGAGCAGGGATTGCGGTGTGTCCATCCTCCCTGGGGGATGATTTCTCGCTTTCTATCTCTCTGTCTCTGTCTTTCTGATGAGCGCCCATGCCCTATAGCAAAAACCTAAAAAAACCTAAAAAAATAAGATGAGGGGGCCAGCAGGTGCCATGGAGGTTAAGACGGCTGGATCGCACATGACTGACTGTAGTCTGAGTCCCAGACTTGGTGACTTGAAATCATACCAGACATGTGTGTGTGTGTGTACCCAAGGTGCTAGGAGAATGGAGAAGGGATTGCATGTGTCCATCCCCTCGGGGGTCATTTCTAACTTTCCTTCTCTCTGTGTCTTTCTCTGACATGCACCTAATAGGGGGGGGAAATATATATATATATATATATATATAAATAAATAAATAAATATATATAAAGAGACAGACAGACAGACAGACAGACAGCTACATTATTAGGGCTAGCAGGTGGTATGGAGTTTAAGGTAGCTAGATCTCACAGGTTTTGAGTCCCAGACCCAGCAGCTTGAAAAGACACACAGGGTGTGTATGCCTGTGTGCCCACCCCATCCCCTCCAGGGGGAGATTTTTCAGTTTCCCTCTCTGGGGAGTACATGTGACTATAGCAAATTGAAAAAAAAAAAAAAATGGAATTAGAGGCTCCCCCCCCCGGGGCCGTTCACAAACTTTTCTTGCAACCCT